CAATCAGAGGCGGCCCATATCTGTCACGGTTAATGTTGGCTGATAGAGTCGCAGCAATTTAAAATGCTCATGGTATAATGCATTTCCCCGTGCCTCTTACAGGCTGATGATGCATCACATCACGCCCTGATGGCTCTCGAAGAAACGGATAACCTGCTCTACAGCGTGCCGAATGAGGCCTCCATTATGCCTGACCATTTTATTCGTTTTTTATCTTAATCGCCTACAAGGAAGTCTCATTACGACATCCATTAAAAAAAAACAAAAGTTACCTGAAGTTCAGAGTCTAATCTCTCAAAATTATTGCAGATAATTGTGTTCTCTGTTGTGAATCAATCAGGCAAAAGCAAATGCTCTCACAAAGGGCACAAAAGATATCCGTCACTGAGTTTTAATCTAGCTTTCTCAGAATGGATAGTTTTTCCAGGTATTTTTAGAAGATCTTTTTCTGCAAAAGTCCCCACATGATTAAGTGTAATTGCTGAGTCATGAAAAGAGGAACTCTGTGTCATCTCTCCGTAAATCAGTGTTGAAGGTATATGTAGTCAGTTATGCTATACAGTAAGTTCCTGTGTGTGCATTCTATAGTAATTGATAAAAAATTGTTCCCCTGCTCACAGAGCTTGTCGTGTCTACATGTACTATCAGGATGCAATGCAAAGGAGTAACTGCAGCCTTGACCTGAACATTATCCAGTACATATATTGCCCTAATACTTTGAGTTGCCATTTATGCTGTTGGAAATAGAAATGTTCTGATACAATTTTTTCCTCCGTGTGAAAAAGCACTGCTGCAACACCAACGCCATAAATGTACATCTGAAACCATGATCTTTATCATGATCCACCTTTCATTTTTGCTTTACCATGTTGAACTTTGAATTCTGAATAAAACAGACTTAGAATGTATGATGGGAAAACACAGACTGCTGTTGTTTTATCGGCTTGTTGTTAGACTATTCTCTAGCATCACACAGATGTTTCCTTTTTCTCAAATGATAATAATATCTGCAAATACTTCTGTTCCACTCCAAAAAAAAAAAAAAATACATGCCAGTTCTAGCAGTAATATGTATTATTGCAGGCTACTGTCTTAAAAAATAAAGTCTTATGAATTATTGCATTTGATTGGATCAATGACTGGCGCACTCAGGGAAGCCTGATACCATATTTCTAACCTTTTGGGACCCAATTCCAATACTCTTATTAGTATCAGAAGAATTCTGGTTGGAAACATTGCTAAGTTGCATTGAACGTTAGGGAAGAGAACCGAATTCCAAGCCGAAATGTTATAGACTTGTTCCAACTACGATTAATAACCAATGACAGATGACTTCCAGAAATTGCAGCTGCAGCCCTGAATCTCAGGGAGCATTTGGAAAACAGCACAGACACTGGTTATGTAATTAATTTAGATAGAAAGACATATCATTGACAACTCCCAAGCAATCCCTTTTATACGAGTGATAAAAAAAAACGCCTGTGTAGTGCGATTTTTAGCATGTTACTAAAAATCACTAAAAACCGATTTGTTGCAAGAGCGTGATTGTGGTTGCTTTTCTAATTCTGTTAAGTTATAGTGCAGCAGTGCCCTCCCTTCTGCCTTCTCTCGTTCATGATACTGGAATGTGGTTCATTGACATCTTTGAAAAAAGGCGATTTGTGCTGGGAAGAGATTGATAAGAACCACTAATTGCCAAAAAATAAATGTGCAGATCAATTGAGGTTACTTTAAAGAATAAAGATTATTTGCAGTATTTGGTATAAATTAATTTGATAAGTACATGATTTCAAATCAAATCTTATTCTAGAAGAGCATACAAACATGTCTGCATGTCCAATTTACCTTTTTTTCTGTGCACCTAAAATGTATTCCAACCAGAAATTTCCTTACTTATTTCCTTTGCATGCAGAGATTGAAGAACGTTATTATTTGATAATGCCATTTGGTCCAAAAGGTCAACCTGGCCTCGTGATGGGGGGATAGAGAGAGAGCAGGGGAGGGGAGGAGAAGAGTTGAGGAGGAGGGGTGGTGTTGGTGGTGGTGGTCAGTCCAATGGGAAACCAGGTGCTGATATTGAGATAGTTTCCATAGTAACTCCTCCTCCCCAAGTCTCCCCTCAAAAACATTTGTACAGCGCTGCATGTTTAGACTTCCACTTTTCATCCCAGCGGTGGTCTCTATGGTAAACCCCCTTTTTTCGTTTTAATATCTGTTGCTGAAATCAATTTGAGCCTTTGTTTTCCAGCTGTGTGCTCATGTGATATACTGTGGCTCAACCATTAAAGCTGCTGCTGTCGTATGGCCTGCCTTGTTGGAGTAAAAACCTACATAAATAAATGTATCTTAGCACCAAACAGCTGGCACGGACTGTACATTTCACTGCAAACAGGCACAGATAACGTTGACAGCTATTGTGCTAAAACGGGAATGATCTATGTGTGTGCAGTCGACAGCTTCACATCATTAAGTGCTGAATGCAGCTCCATTCATCGTTTCTGTAGAGTGCATTTTGAAACAGCGTTTCTGTGATCAGGTCAGGGTTGTTCTTTTATCTGGAGGCCCCCAGTCTTGAGATGCCAATGTTCCATCTCTACTACTCTACCTCCTTCAGCTCCAGCACTCAATGAAGGTGAGTGGTAAAGCACGTTGCAATGAGGAAAGCAGATGTGTTTACTAGTCAGAGGGAGAGAGAGAGCAGAAGCAGCAGATGGCCCCAGGAGCCCAGGGAGAGCACCTCTGAGCTGGACGAAAAACAGCTTGAGTTCCCCCCCTGAAAGTAAAAAAAATCCCTGTGTGTACGTGTGTATCTGCATGTGTGTTGTATGGTGGCTGACAAGGGCAAACATGCTGCAAATTCAGATAGGGCAGATGTTGAAAAGCAGTACAAATCCCCCAAAAATCAGTTGGTTGATATCCATGTGTTAGTTCATATTTTTGCAGCATGTTTTTTTGTTTCAATTTTTTTCATTTATTTTCAACTTAGTTAATTAGTTTTGAAGTAATATGGGCTAAGCTAACTGCTAACATTGGCGGTTGTCTATAGCCTATTGGTCATTAATTAAGTTGTCCACACATTCATTTGCTTTCCCTCATCTGGGGCTGGGTCCTGGTTGAAGCAGGTTAAGCAAGTAAGCACAGGTTTCCTGCTCCTCTGCAATGTTTTCCACGTCCTCCTTGGAGGTCCAGTGGCGTTCCTAGGCCAGATGGGGTGTACTGGTATACTTCCTGCCATGAGCTTTGTGTCTGCCCGGGGGTCTCCTCTGGTGCCTACAAGGCATCCTGATCAGAATTCTGAGCCACATAAACTGGCACCTTTAAATGAGAAGGTGCAGCAAACTTCCTTTAAGTTCCCTCCAGATCTCCGAGGTCCTCATCCTATCTCTAAGCCTGAGCCAAGATGGGAGACAGTCATTTAATTTCCACAACCAAAGTCTTTTAAGTCACCAGCTCTAGCTCATGACCTAAGTGTAGGGTTGAAACACAGATGGACTGGCAATCTAAGGTTTACTTGTTCAGCTTTGTCTTCAACACAGTGGTTTGATGCGTGGCAATGCCCTCATGCTGGACCAACCAGATATCAGGATCAATTTTAGCTTCACTTTAAACATCTTATTCCAAAATTTTCTCCATCCGTGTGCTTCTTTTACAGCCTTCTCTCTTTAAGGAACGTTTTCCGTAAGATTTTAGAAACCAAGCTGCAGGGATTTGCTTTGATTCAGCCACAAGAAAATCTGCTAGGTTGGACACTGATGCTGGGTGACATGGCTGGATCACATTTGGCATTCCAGTTCATCCTGAAGTTAAACAAATTGTTACAATCTTAAATGTTTTGTTAAAATCTGTTGTGATTTCAGCACCAGCATTGAACCAGCATGAATTTATGGTCCTCACCTCCTGCGGCAAATGTTTACAACAACATCCCAGCATATCAGTTCAAGCTATTTAAAGACAAGGATATATTTCAGATAAATTTGGATTTGGATATTCAGCTGTATTAGAGCCAGAGCAAGCTATATGGCTGTAGAATTGCAGCAGAGCAAGGTTGTGCATTTACCATCAACACTGATTGGACATCCACTTAATTGGCAAAAATGCCCCCCAAGAAAATACAATTCTTATGACTCCATTAAAACCTTTTATGGTTAGAGATTTCCCACTGCAAATGTTTTCTCATTTAGAGAATCAATCAGATCTGAGAGAGAGAAAAAGATCCCTTAGAGGTCTTTATGTTAAACTGAGAAAACGTTTTCCTATGGACCTGATTAAATGGGCACAGGGAAATTGTAACATGTAAGTCCCTTCTTCAAAAGGTTGCCACAGCTATTTAAAAGGTAACCATTGCCTTCAACATCAGTGTTTGTTGTAAAGGGGTCAGAGCATGAAAATTAGGCCCAAAACATTGTTTACATACTTTTGACCTTAAGTCGATCTAGTGGTCAATACAGAATCGTTTATCCCTTCAAGTCAAGTCAAAGTTGATTTACAAAGAACATTAAAAAAACAACAACAACAACAACAAACAAACAAACAAACAAAGTGTTGTACAGGTTACAAAACAGTAAAAGGAAGACACAGGTGAACTCAGCTTGTGACTTATGCAGTTTGTGTTCAACTGTGTATGGGTGAAACAGAGTAAGAGAGATCTGTATATTGAGAGACCCCCCCCCCCCCCCCCCACACACACACACACACACACACACACACACACACAGTTAACTGAATTGCTATCTTCTTTACACACTTTTGGCACGAGAGAGGTAAAGGCCGTATTCTCTGCCACTTAATCAATCAAATCTCGTCCTGTTTTTCCGCCTTATTTTTCTGCCTCCTGTAATTGCATTTCTGTTTCGTGCGATGAGTGCGCGCTGTCCAAGGTGCTGCTGCAGCAGCGCGCGCCCCGCCCATCCTCTCCATCTCTCTCTCTCTCTCTCTCTCACACACACACACACACACACACACACACTTTTTTTTTCTCTCTCTCGTGCGACCACGTGACACTCCCTCTGCCGAGTCTCGCGGAGAGCATCAGACTGCACCTTTTCCTTCTCAAGAGAACGGAAAGAGAGAGAGAGATTGAGTCAGAGAGAGGAAGCGCGAGAGAGGAAAAGGAGAGCGCGAGAGAAAGAAAAAGAGAGAGCGAGAGAGAGAGAGAGAGGGAAAGCGCGCGCGCGAGGGGGAGACCAATAGCACCTTGTCGCCTGGAGGCGAGCCTGTGATAATTTTGTCCCTGTCCGGTAGACCGACTCTATCTACCACCGGGCGAGCGTGTGCTGTTTCCTCTCTCGCGGCTTCCAGGTTCTTCTCTTCAAATGGGAAGGTAAAATCGATGAGTCGCGCGCGCCGCACTGTTGCCACGGGGACCAAAGGATGTGCTTGAGGTAGGTCGGTTTTCTGAGCTCTATGTGACCGCACCAAAGGGAAAAAAAAAAAAAAACCTCTGCCGGGTTATGTTTAATTTACCGGGGCGAGGCTTGTCAAATCACCTTTACAGGTTGTGGTGTCAATTAAAAAAATAGTAAGCGTTTGAGGGGAAAGTAATTACCGTTTCGAGCAGCTGTAGATACGGCGCAGGTGACGAGACTGAACCTCCGGTGTAGGCAAGTATAAGGGCGCGTAGGAGGAAAAATGGAGAGCGAGGTATGGCCGCAAATCGAGAATCGATATTTCAACCGCAGTCACTCACCCCGTCTATCAATAACTATGATGTCGCCTCTTTTCCTTCGAAGATTTGAGTCGCGGAGAAGAAAAACCACGAGTGTCTCTTTATTTATTATTTTTTTTGTCTGTTTGCGTTTGTGCACATTCAGTCGGTGTGCGTTGTGCTTTGCGTGAGTGTGTTCAGTTATTAGAAAACGGAGCTCTGGAGCTGTTAATTCGATAAAGCGAGGCGGTTTGAGTCATCCGCCGCAGAGAGCTGCTCCCGCTCTTTGTGATGGAGCTAACAGAATCCTCCAACAGCTTAGACAGTCATTCAATCCTTTACAAATAAGGCAAACTTATATATATATATATATATAAATAAAAAACAACAACAGCAATGTGGCTGAGGTTTCTCGTTTATTATGACGTGAACTCGCATAAAGTCATAAAAAAAAAAAAAAAAATGTTTACATGATGTTGGCAGTTGCAGGTATGCCACCTTATAAAATTCTCCTGCGGCATGATGGGAGACTGAGGAGCTGCTGTTTGTGTTTTTGCGCGTTCCTTCACTGCACAGTATGTGTTAGCTTTAAGACCTTTATGTGTGGACTTTGTGGAAGTAAAGACTCTCTGGCTTTTATTGTTTGTCCAGTAAGTTCAGTCTTTTTTTTTTTTTGGGGGGGGGGGGGCGTTTGTTAAATGTGCAATATGTGTAATGTGATGATTAAGTGTGTGTGTGTCTGTCTCAGTGTGTGTGCCCAAAATGCATGAGAGAGAGTAATTTGAGGCTTGGGTTGTGTGTGTGTGTGTGTGTGTGTGTGTGTGTGTGTGTGAGAGAGCGTTTTTTTGCGTGAGTGTTTACGTATGTGTGTTGTGTGTGTGACCCTGGTTGATTGTGCTGTCTCTGTTCTCTCTGTAGGTCGCTGGAGAGAGTGATGACGTGGCAGTGAGAGACACACATACCCTCACTTGTACTCGCATACACTCACAAACACACACACATATTGGCCCACACACACACACTTTAAGTCTTGCCCTACTAAGACAGGAAAGAGGGGGAGAAAATTCAGCTATGACGGGGTCATTTCTCTCCATTACCAATGTGTGAGCCACAAACCCACACACACACGTACTCCGTGGGGAGTTGCCTTCATGGGGGATAAGGCCCTATCTAGGGCACAAAGATGGAGTTTGCATCCTATTTGTCATGTCTCTAACACTCACACAGATGCACTCACAAATACACAGATCCAGAGTCTCATATGTGAGAAGTGAAAAATGAAAGACTGAATGGAGAGGATACACTGAGCATCCCAGAGAAGACAATAACACGGTGTAGGCTTATAGGGAAAGAAGATTCCCATAACTACCGAAGGTCGGAGGGAACCGCAGTTTGGCCCTCTTCTTCAATGTGTTGTCACTTCCTGTTTTAAAGAGAACCCCTGTAAAAGCAGGGCACACCAGAGACACAGAAAGTGTTCAACGAAGTGCCCTACAGTTGTCACCATGAGCTGTAGGCTAGAGGGAACATCCCAGCTCTAGCCTCCATCTCCAGCCGTGTGTGTGTGTGAGTGTGAGAACGAGTGTGTGCATGACTGTGATGGCAGTGTGTGTTTGGGCGGCAGCCCCCCTACTTTTCTTGGGGCTGTGCCTGTGCAGTGTTGGGGGTCATGCCCAAGGCGAGGTCCTGGAGTTTGGAGGCGTGTCCAGCCAGTGGGGGCGGTTCCCAGTGTGGAATGCCTGCTGTGAAAGCGTGCTGAGCTTCAGCCTGCGGACTCACAGCCAGGAGGGCCTGCTGCTTTACCTCGATGATGAGGGCTTCTGCGACTTCCTGGAGCTGTTGCTTCTCCATGGCCACCTCCGCCTGCGTTTCTCAATTTTCTGTGCTGAGCCAGCAGAGCTGCAGTCAGGCGTGGCGGTGAGTGACGGTCACTGGCATGCAGTGCGTGTAAAACGGGACTGGAGGAACACCTCGTTGGAGGTGGATGGACGACTGGAGGGATGGGCAGAAGTGAAGAGCAAAAGAAGAGATATGACAGTTTTCAGCCACACCTTCATGGGCGGGGTGACACCAGAACTCCACTCCTCGCCACTGCGCCTTACATCCCCTTCTGTGCGGGAACATCCCGCCTTCCGTGGCTGGATCACGGCAGTTAGCATCAACGGCTCACTAGCGACGGTGGACAGCTCAGAGGGTGTCACGGTAACAGCTGGATGTGGGCCGGACCACCAGTGCCAGAATGGAGGGGTGTGTAGTGTGGTCAACGACCAGGCCGTCTGCGACTGCTCCGACACCGGTTACCAAGGCAATGACTGCAGCGAAGGTAAGGCCCAGTACCATGCTAACCCATCATTAACATCTCATCTTTTACGTACACAGTTACATACCCCATACACAAACAAACATGCACATGCAAATACAGTTCAATGCCAAACACAGGTGCTGCAGTAGATATTTTTCATTCACACCTTCACCAAGTGCCTTCAATTCGTGTGTTTGACCAACTGCCTTCAAAAACAGTGCAAGACATACTTACTGATTAAGTTTGATATTGATTTATTATGGATGCCAGTTAGTGCCACTTCAGCAGAGAGTTTAAAAGTGTTGTCCAGTTTAGTGGATGCTGGAGCTAAGAGCCTGATTCAAGCTGCATTCAAACTTGTGAGTGGAGATCTGAGACAAATTCCCGGAACTGAGTAAAAAGCTTTACCTGACTGTTGGCAGCGTCAAAGTCTTGTTGGGCTCAGCTGGTGTGTTTGGCAAAACACAATAACCATATAGATCCATTATGGATGTGGCTGTTGGCTTGCATTGAGAGGCTT